GGTTTGCAGGAGAAAATCCTTCTGAACCAGTCCACAGCTTTGAAACCCAGGAGTCCCCTTTTGTGAAGATTTGGAATTCTGAGAGTGTGTCACAGACACTATTACCAAGCAGATGTGATGGGAGGTGGCTTACCCAGTCATAAAATGATCACCATGGATGGTCATAGAACATCTAGGACTTTTTAAGACTCTCTACTCATGGGCATTTGCTGGCATGCAATAGGGTTTTACTGTCCCTTGGTTTAATAGCTTACCAGTATGGGATGGGGTTATGTCAGTTGTCTTAACACATCCCTGGCATCTTAATTGTAGGCCATTTTAAAAATGGTATTAAATTGATTTTACATGTTGATATTATATTTCTGTTTGTAATTTTTTTGAACCTTTAGAACCTTGAGTTTTGGGTGGTGAAGACATTAAAGGAATGAATAAAGGAATGAATGAAGAAAGGTCATATTCAAGAGTATATAGTAAAATTATTGCCATACACATCCCCCAGATTTCTCACTTATATCTTAAAGGCACTAGAATGGAAATCCTGGGAGGTACTTTCAAGTGTGCACAGGATTGTACCCTAAATCCATGTGGTTCTCATGTTCATTCCACCATTCCTTTCTTTCCAAATTATTTGGATCTTTATCAGGGACAGCCAATTCTGTAATAAAGCTGCCATCCTTTAAGCAATGCTTTCCTCATGGTACTCTCTCAAGACTTGATTACTGTTCGTTGATGTTGCCAGAGATTCCATGATCCCCAAGTACCAATTACAGCTGTGCAGATGGGACTGGGAACAGTATTTGGATCAGTGAAGAAATATTGGGAGCTATTTCCAGATATTGGGAGGAAGCAGCTAAGCCATTGCAAGCCTGACAATCAATAATAAGAGGCAGCTTAGTTGCACCACAATTAATAATTGTTCAAGACCAGATGGGACCCTGCTGGTTCTTCAGATGATCAGATCTCCATGGGGTTCAGAGCTACAGTGCTCTCTCTGGCCATAGCTGGTGGTGGTGCTACAGTTCAGCCAACAGCGGGAGAAAACTGGAGAAAACTCTGCAAAGTGGCATTTATTTCTAGGAGACGGTTCAGAGCAAAGCAATCTCAGACCCTTTCCGAGGAAAAAAATCTTCCAAGAAATGTTCAGTTAGCTTCAGTTGACATTTTTTAGGGCTCAGCAACTTCTCCAGGGCCTTTCAAATGTTATATTTGACAGGGATGATTGGGCGCACATCATTTCTCTAGCGCAGATGTTTATAAGACCACTGATTCTCCAAAATACCTGCAGAGGGGGCAGTGTTGAGTCTCGCTCCAGGGAACAGTGCTGTGCTAAAACCATTGCTTCAATTTCCTGAATGTTTTCTCTCCTCATGAAAGAAGCATTCATTTTCTGCTTCATTCCTTCAGTATTTTATTTTGGATTCATTTTGGTTGTGCTTTTGAGCTTACTGGAAGAATGGCTCCATTGCACTCTATGGGTCTTCACACCACGTGGAGAAAGGTATGGAGGGTCCACTACCAGAAACCCCAGGTGGAGTTCCAAGGCAACTTATCTCTCAGAAATTGCTTGGCTTCCATTACCAGGACCTTTGACTGCTAAACAGAGGCCACAGCAGTCCCAGACTTGCTGAACAAAACCACTGGAATCCAGAGGCTGCATTGTACTCCAGCTGTGCAGAAGAGCAACCCTAAATTTAGAGATGACAGCAGTGTGCCTGACATCATGTGGCATCTTGTGGTATATTTATGAAGCCACTCCAGGACTTTTATGGCTCCATTGCAGGATGGCTTGGAGTCAGCAGCACTAAGATGCTATAAATAATGCTCCCCTTCAAGAGAAGGTGGCAGACAGTCCTACACAAGTTAGGCAGCAAGCTGAGAATGTGAGGACTTTCAGAAAATAGAAGTTGGGTGAAGACTTCATTTTAAGTAGGGCCTTCATTTGTTTCCTTCGAATAGCAGTCTACCAAAGGACACGGTAAATATCAGAGTTCCCTGATTGGCTATCCTGTCCCCATTTTAGAAATTGCCAGCCATGGGAAGGGCAGGGGAACAATCACTTCAGGACTATGATGTCAGACATAAATATACTTCCAGATGGGGAACTACTGAAGGCAGGGCAATTTCATTAGGAAAGAAAGTATTGAGAAAATAGTTACATTTCTCTTCCCATTTCTCCAAAGTCGCTATTAAGCCCTGTTCCATGGGGCTGGGTTTCTCTGTTGCTCAGTGAATGGACTTGTTTCCCAACTTATCCCTCCTCTGCAAGAAAAATAATGTCTACTGTTTGTGTGCTGTGCTGCATACTGAGATCAAAAGTGACCCTCCTTTTCCTAGGATCACTAATTGGTTCTCACTGACAGCATCTAGTGTCTTCAAGCACTTAAAAACAACATCAGCAGCCATCACTGCTGGAAACCCCCAATTATTTAAGTCGTCAAGAGACCATGACCAGTTGACAGCTTTGCAATACAGGTCATTAGAACAGCTTCCCCCAATTTCCAGTGCCACACAAATGGCCATTACCTGCCTAGGACTCGGTCATAAATGTTTCAGCCTACTAATGAGATGTGAAGTGCAGTTCCTTCCATCCCTCCTTGTCATCACTGTTCCCTGCCCCTCTGTGCATCATGAGATGGAATTTCTGCAAAGGCGTAACAAAGAAAATACCCCATGTATATTTGCAGAGGCTAATCTCTGAATGGAAGGGTGGTGAGCTCAAGCCCATCTGGAAGGAATGACTTCCACTGTAAGACTCTGCTGTCATGACCTTGTTCCCAAGCACCGAAATCCCATTTTAGCACTGGTCACATGGCTCTTAGCCAATGCCATTGAATCAAAGACCAAGGCTGAGCCTTCAGCATGTGGACTGCTGGGGTCTATTTCCTTCCTTTGGCAAAGAATGATTATTTTCAGGAATGGCTGGAACCAGGACTAGGAGCCACATCTGTGTGATATGGAGGACACGTTTCTTTGGAGCTGGCCTGCTGAGGACCACCTGCTGTTGATGGGTGTGGGTGAAGCCAGGCAGTGTATGAGCCATGCCTTCCCTTCTTGGACTCTTTCTGCCACACCCTCGCCTCTGTTTCACTCTCCCACTCACTCCCCCCTCCATTTTCCTCACTGCTGAGGGGTCTCCTGAGGAAGGGGCAAATCCCTTTTGGCAGAGGAGAACTGACCCTGGTAAATCAATAGGAGATTTGTGGCTTTCCTCTTTGTGAACGTTGGACTAGCTAAACCCTTGGTCCGATCCATAGGTCTCTTCTTCCACTCTTGTATTCCTCACTCAGCTGAAGGTAGGACATCCAGAGAAAGAATGCCCCCCTCAAATGACTGTCTACCTTCTGCTTGAAGACTCCTAGTGAGGCCAGTTCCATTGCTCAGCTGCCCTGGCCATGAAGATGTTTCTCCTATGCTCCATCAAAATCAAGCAACACCCATTCAAGTCTGAAGATGTCACTCCCTCCTCCATGCTGGTGTCTTCCCTTCTGTAGGTTTAAAGCACCTTGCTCCTTGGACCCTGCATTCCACGGGTGAAATTGTCCCTACCTCTTCCTCCTCTTCCATCCATGCATACTAACACAACCCCCTTCTCTTCGCCTGGGCATGCAAATAAGCTAAACATACTGGATTGAATCCGAAATAAATTAAAACAACAACAATGCACATATTTGTCCAGAGAGCTTCAGATATTGGGTAGTATACAAATGTAATAAAGAAAAGAATAAATAAATTCTCTCTCTCTCTCTCTCTCTCTCTCTCTCTCTCTCTCTCTCTCTCTCTCTCTCTCTGATGGGTGGAAATTCACTCAATCAATATGTTGTTTGGCTCTTTAAATGCACTTACTGATGCTTTCAGCAAGCCAAACTAGAGCTTCAAGGGAGCCTGCCTACCCTGAACCTCAGCCTTTCTGCAAACCAAACTAGACGTAAAATGCCTCAGGAGAAAACGCACACCTGAGAAACACCGACATGTGTTTCTTAGGAGAAATGCACACAAAATGCATATATTTAAGAACAGTGCCCACAAATCATCTTTTCAGCCATGAAGAAATACTTGTGAGGAGGTGAATGTCTGCCTTGAAATACGTGCACAAAACCTCAAACCGAAGAAAAATGCTCACCAGAAAAATACAAACTGAATGCAGATTTTTGTTTTTGAACAAAAGATATTCACAAGCTCGTAGGGAAGCAGGATGGAATGATCTTGATCTATACCTTCCTGGCAATCTCTGAGACAGGGATTGACAAATCTGCCTATCACCACTCTACATTTTCCTTTTCCAAGAAATAATACTAAAAAAGTTGATCAGAGATACAGTGGAAAGAACTGCCATACCCTCTGTGACCACCCCCACCCTTCTTTCTTTCTTTCTCCTTGTCCTCCTTCTCCCATTCCTTAAACCTCCTTTAAGTAAATCCATTTCCCAAATCAGTGGAAGATTTATAAAGCCACCTGGATTAAGACGCGGAGTGAGGCATGTTTAATCAGATATTGCCAGCATGTTGGCTCAACCTGTAATGGTTAAGCTAAATGGAAACCCTGCATTGATTTCTACAGAGAGTGCATTTGTCTCCCGAAGTCTCCCTGGCACTTCTTATGAACCAAAGGATCAGCAGATAAAGTCTGGGGACGGTGTGAGCTGAACCAGGAAGGAGGCAGACACCAGCAGGGAAGGGCTGTGGCTCAGTGGGACAGCCTGTCCTGAATGCTGAAGGTGTCTAGATCCCAGAAGGACCCAGATTTCCTGAGTCCCAGACCGGCACACTGACCAGCACACCACACTTCCTACCTTTACTCTGGCATCTCATGTATTAACAGTGCCCAACTCTTTGCGAACCCCTCATGGATACTGCCTCTCATGAGCACCCGTTTGGTAAGTAAGATGAGCCTTCATCCCCAGAAACATCACAAAGGGGGGCCTCTTTCATCTTGCCTGGCATTTATTGTGGGGCAGCAACTTCTGGAGATGTTTTGCAAAGTTCTAAAATGCAAAGCCTTACCTTAATCACATCTTCATCAGAGGACCTGCACTCCACAGACTCCAGAAGATCGGTGACGGTTCCATCGTCTTCTACGGAGACCACCTTCACAGGGACCGCTACTGTCTTCCCGGTGAGAATGGCAGTGTTCAAGATCTCAGCTTCCTTAAAGACAAGATACACCTTTTTCAGCCTAGCGGATGAAGATGTGCAATATTTCCATAGATAATGTACAGGTACAATGTCACCAATTACAGTTTTGTACTGGAGACTTTGGAGAAAGCCTCAGTGGACTTAGATGAGTTCAAATGCCGAAGAAGCCATGTTATGCTTGCATATGAAAATGGCACTGGCCACCTAATAGCTACTAAGTCATGTTTAAGGTTTTGTTGGCAACATCCAAAGCCTGAAGCAACTCAGGATAGCTAGCCAGCCTTCCTCAGGGACTCCCGAGATCTTCTGAGGGGGCCGTCTTGGACATTCTATGGCCAATGGTACATTGTCAGGTAATAGCCTATAATGGGGTCTTCTCCGTCGGGGCGCCCTGCTTCTGGAATGCGCTCCCATGTGTATTCTGGAAGGTGGAAACCTGAAGATGGCTCTTAAAAATGTACCTGCTTATTCCGGCTTTCCTTGACTTGCTGTTGTGTTTGTACTGGTTTTGTAATATGTTTGAAGTCTCTATGATTTAATATAGGTCTTTAATATAGGTTTTTATATTGCATATGCACACACTTTTATATATATGCAATTTACACACACATATATGCACAATTCTATACACACACACACACAATTTTTATATTGCCCTATAGCTGAAGGGTCTCTGCATGGTTAACAAAAGTTAAAAGCTAAAACAGGTAACAAGAAAAACAAAGACAAGGTATAAACAACAAAACAACGAAACCATCGCAATTGCAGTCAAATCAGCACAGAGATAGGGCAGTGGTATAGAATAAAATACAGAATTAAAACTCAGATTAAAATGTTAACCATTAAAACACTAGAAGAATAAAAAAAGTTTTCACAGGGCTCCAAACAGAATAAAGGTGGATCAGGCACACCTCTTTGAATAGCTCGTTCCATAGTTGGGGCGCCACAGCCGAAAAGGCCCTTCTCCTGGTGGCCACCCTCTTTACTTCCTTTGGAGAGGCCTCCCAGAGAAGGATCCCAGGGGATCACCTTAGGGCCCAGCTAGGTCCACAGGAGATGAGGCATTCCTTCAGATCACCTGGCCCCAGGCTGTTATATGATACATAGGCACACAGGGCAAACTGCTCAGAAATCTTAAGTTACCTAGCAGAATATAAGTAATTTACGTGCTTAAAAGAAGATTGATCACGACTTTGTCATGCAGATTAGGCAGGTCTTAACAAAGATAATTGTGCTATGATTACTCCTGAATTGTCTCTATTGGATCTGCATGGTTATCTTCACACCTAAGCCATTCTGAATGGTGGTTGATCAGTGTTTAGACATTCAGTACAACCTAGCTCAGGCTATAACAATACCCTTTGAAGAATACAATTAAGATTGAATTATACTCTCTGTGTTACAGTGTAAATTAAAAGCAATTTCCTTCCTTCATCTGAAGCAACTGCTGATTTTTCACCCTGGGTAAAGAAAGAATGGGTGAATTTCCTTGAATCTCATTCTTATTCAGAATTCCAAGGCATTTAAAGATTAAAAATCAAGGTCCATATGTAGAACAAGCAGATCGTGATTTCATTTGGTTCCTCTGAATGCTGGTTTCCATCCCTGCAAACCCTCAAGTGGTAATTTTTCATCTAAATAGTTCACGCTGTAGGGCTTTGAAGTTTGACCTGATTTTACTTGTGGGAGAGAACATAAATTGGAGATTGAGAATGAAGTAAATCCAAAGTTGACTTTTCTTACATTCTCTTGGACAGGGTGAACAAGCGCCAGTCTCTCTAATCTAATAAGATATAGATAAAAAGTGTGCTCTTTGAAGATCTTAAAGGGACAGGGCTCCTTTATTCTAGTTCAAAAGAAAAGAAGAATGAAAACGCGTAGCCTTTGGATAGGATTGAATAGATCTGCTCACCAACTTCCTGTCGCTTTATGATCACTCCGGCTTATTCCTGCATCAGGTTCCTTGCAAGTAAGCTTTGCCGAGTTCAAATGGGATGCACCGCTGAGGCAGGGCACAGAGGATTGTGGTACTGGGGTGCGAGGCGCTGCTAGTCGGAGCGAGGAGGAGAAGCAGAGTCAGCAACAGGCACTGCTCCTTCCTCTGGGGCAGATTTCTTGCTGCCTGAAGTGACAGACAAGATGGTGCCCTCTCTCATTCCCTGGGCAGGAGCGGACCGGACTGGCTGTCCAAGTTTTCTTTATCACTAGCCGTTGGACAGCATCTTCTACTGCCTCTGAAGGCAAAAGGCTGGTTTAGGGGGCTCGAGACAGTGGGATGCACAGTGAACATCATATGCAGCTTCCCGGTACCTGCCACCTGCCACGGCTGCCTCCCTCTGCCTTATGGTAGGGCTGGCCCTTCTTCTTCCACGGTCCAGCCTTGGCAGTTCCATCTGTAGCATGGGGATAAGAATAACCTGCCGAAGTGTGGTCCATATGCAACATACAGAGGAAAGAGGGAGACAAAGCAAGGCCTAAGCAGGCGTGAAGTCTGCTAGAACAGGAGCCCTCCTTCGATATTGCTTGTGTCTGAAATATTTGTGCATCCCAAACCAATAATGCATTTCTCATTCCTCTGCAGACGAGAACTACAAGAGCTCTGATCGGATTAAACAGCGGGTGGAATATCTTTGCAAATCGCTCTCCCTTCCTTTCTGTCAAGGCACGAAGGGGCTTAAGGATCCCCACCAGGGAAAATACCTCCCAAAATTACTTCATTCTGAAGACACAAACATGATACTGGTTTGGTCCTGACAGAGATCTGCAGGTCATTTCCCAGCATGTTCGAGAACGTGGAAACTAATCAGTTGTTGTTCTATACCCCCAAAGAGGCAGGGGAGAGGAGGAAGAGTCGTCATATGATACCAATCTCTTTTGAAGGACGTGATGTTCCTCACCTACGCTTCACGGAATTGTGAGGGATGCTGTAGCAAATAAAATGAATGGCTTTGGTAAGGCTGCCTAGCAAATGTGGCTTCCAAAGGTTTGTATTTGTGTTTTGTTAAAAATAATGAAATTTAAACATGCAGATGATCCTTGCAGCCAATTCAGGGTGAGAGCATGAGAAACAACCGACTTGCAATGCACACATGCTCCTGTGGATGCAAAGTGGAGAGAGATCAGATGCCATACTCTGACTTTATTTATTACATTTATATTCTGCTTTCCCCCCAGTGAACTCAAAGTGACACTACACAGTTACAGAAAAGAAGAGCAGGGCAATTCCATCAGAAGACTGGCTACCTTTGGCTTTTAGCAAGGATGTGGAATCTATTTCTGCTTCCCCAGAATTTTGTGCCTCTGTATCAGAATCTGAACTGGCAGGAGAGGTGGGATGGAATTAGCTGAAATGCCAAAGCCAGCAGGTCCAGCAATAAGCCAGGAGGATGGGATGACCCAGACCATGTCTGAACCGGGGAGCCAGAGGGGAACAGATGTAACCTGTTCACTCCCGTAGTGTTGGGGTCAGAGCAAAAGAAGAGATCAAATGAGTAGCATCCAACCTCCCTGCTGTTTGGCCCACAAGCATGGCAGTCCACCCTCAGGGTGAAGCTAACTCCGATTGGGAAGGTTGGAGAGGTATTCAGTTTGAAACCAGCTTCTTAGTGTGAGCCGTATTCCCCTAATTGCAGGTATTCTAACCTTGCTGATGCCTTTTTTAATGACTTTGGCAATACTCCTTTCATATCACAAAGCCAGCCCAGCTGGACAGTTTTAACATAATAAAGTTAGGAGCCTCTGGTCTTCTAAGGGTGGAACGGAAGACTGGATTTCAACAAATTGTCTTCTTGCTGGCAGTTGTATCCATCCGGCCGTTTGTGTCTTAGCTGGGAGTGAGAAGGACCATGGTCACATTTACACAAAACAAGCCCAGCAAGCGCAGGTTCAAAGGGCCAAGAGTTCCAAGGTGGTTGGCACCTTGCAAAGGCAATGCTTCAGTGATCAACTCCAATCAACCCCAGTCAGCATGAGGAATGATCAGGAATGATGGGAGATGTTATTTGAAATATATGAATGGTACCATTCCTATTTCCACAAATTTTCCCAGGATGGCAGTTCTTCCCTCAGACCACCTGTCCGTCCTTCCTTCCTTCCTTCCTGGTAATTCACAACCATTAAAACCATAAAATACAACATAAGATACATAGGGAAGGCTGGTGACTCCTCTATCAGTAGGAATCCTTATCCATTGCAGCTTTTATTTTGAGCTTCATAGGAACTATCCATGATTACATTTCTCTACGTTGCTGAAATCCATTCCCCCAAATAGGTTCCTGCCAACATTCAACATGGATAGCTTCTATTAAGCTCAACAGTGGCATCTTTTCTGGTGCCTTACTGGACATATACCGGAATGGCTATCACAATTAAATGGACTGATAGTCGTAGGAATGTTCTATAATGTGATTATCCACCCAAGTAAAAGAGTATAGGATTTGCAAAGCCTTCCCCAACACCACAGAGACATTAATAAGCAGGAAGTCTGCAGGACCACATGGAATTCCAAACCACTTATGTATATTTTAAGTGACTTTTTCATATTTGTTCTTTGAGCAATTAATATGTGAGAAGCCTGTAGATAAACACATTAGCATTAACTATAATCTGCCGTGGTTCTTTTCTTAATACAACGCTGAATTAAAGAGCCATTAAAATATCATCAAAACGTTCCAACACATTAGCGAGATGCTGGATCGCGAGGGACAATGTGGATGTATTTGTTTAAGTTCTGAGGACGGTCTTGGCAATTAACTACCATCGTTGATCATGGAAATATTTCACTGAATGTCTCACCAAATGAGCATGCCTGCGTTCACTTACATTTCCGAACATCCCTGGCCGTCGGCCATGCTGACTCAGATGGATAGGAGGTGAAGCCCAGAGCATAAGGAGAGCATCAGGTTGTGGGAGGCACGAGCACACTAAAGAGAGGAGGATAGACTCCAAAACTGGGTATGAATGCTAGCAGATGGTCTCCAGAAATCTCACAGACACATTTCAAGATGTAGAAA